GAGGGTCCCGGCGTCCGAGGGCCGAGGGAACGTCGGCGCCCTGCTCCCGCGAGCAGGCGTGTCGCCTGGCACTCCTGTCCCCTCGGGTCGCGGGGAGCCCCCTTCCCACGCCCGCAGGGAGAGGGCCCCTGGCAGCCCGAGGCCGCCCACAAGCCCCACGCGCCGGCCCTGTTGCCACCCTTTCCGGCACCTCCGACGTCACACAGTGCCAGCGGTCTGGACGGTGGCGCCTCGCAGCGAGGCCTGCGTGCCCCGAAGCTCGGGCCTGGCCACTGGGCTGCCCAGCAGCCTCAGAAGCCTCCGCCGGGCATCCGAGACCTGGCTCCTGCCTCCTCCTCCTCCCGGATTTCGGTTTCCCCTAACGGGAGCCGTGCGCCCCAGCTGCGCGCCCCCATCCCGTCACCTGCAGGCGACCTCTGGGTCGTGCTGTCTCCTCCCGAGGAGTCTTCCTCCCTCCAGGCCGTGGCCCCCGCTCTTCTGCCACCGGGGCCGGCCTGAGATGCAGGCGTCCTCGTGCTTCCCGGCGCGGGGCCGCTGCCCGCCCCTCCTCCAGGAAGCCTCTCTGACTGCCCCGGGCGCGGAAGGTGTCCTGCCGTCCCCTGCCCCACATCCCAGTTCCCTTTCGTGACTTTGTTTCCTGGCTTTGGCAGGAACTGGTCCAAGCGCTCCCGTAGGCGGGCCCATCCTGAAGCCCTTCTGACCCAGCGCGGGAACGGCTGCTCATCCTAGCGGGGGAAACCGAGGCAGAGACTCATCCCGGCCAGGGAAATGGAGGCTCAGCCTTCTCCCAACTGGGGAGACCGAGGCAGAGACTCATCCCAGCCAGGGAGACTAAGGTCCAGACTTGGTTTCCCCGGCTGCTCTCACTTCGCGAGACATCTGCACAAGGGAAGGATTTGGCTTTCGTTCTCAGGCCTGAAGCCACGAACGCTCGAACACTGTGGGGAACAAAGAAAATACCGTCTGTTCTGTGCAAAGAGTGACTTTTCCTTATTACCAACAAAACAATTTTTTAAAAAATAAGTTTTTTGGAAAGGTGCTGGCAGGGCTGAGGCTTCTGTAAGTCGCTCTGAGTGTGCAGGGCTGGCCCTGCGGCTTGTCCACGGGTGGCCAGACCAGGGGCCCAGGCTGCTTCTGAGAGAGCCAAGCGCTGAGTCCCCTCGGGAAGGGGCTGGGATGAGGCCGGCCCCAGGCCCCATCAGGGCAGAGGGTGTGGCTTCCTCCGTCCTGGGCCTCAGTCTTCCCCACTGGAGTGTGGGCGGATGCTGGACGGGCTGGAGGTGGGGGCAGGGAGGGCAGGAAGGCTCCGGTGGCTCCTCCGTCCCCTGGGCGTAGAAAGGTCCTGGCCTTGAGTTGTCTCTTCCCAGAGCCTGGGGACGTCCTGGCAGGAGGGCAGCGGCCACCACCCTGAGACGGCTTGCTAGAAGTGGGCACTTTCTCTGGGGGCTGAGAAATGGCATGCGGGAATGAGCTTCCCGTCCAAGGAGGGACCAAGCAGGGGCCAGAGCCGCTCCTTCGGTGCTAGGGATGCTCCCTTTACAGAATGGCTCTTAGGGGTCAGGCTCTGGGTCTCTGCCTGGTTACATCTGACCCAACCTTGGGACTGAAGTCAAAGTGTCTCTCCTCTCCAGAGAGTCCCAACAGGGCGGGGGCAGTCCAGTTCCTCCTCCCTAAAGTTGGGTGCCCAGCCTCCCAGTTCAGGTCCTGATGACTCTTTCAGATTTGGTGCTGGCCTCTTACACTGCTCTGCCCCAGCACCCAGAACAAGCCCAACCTGCAACAGTCTCCATGAGTGCTTTCAGAAACAGGGGATCCCCAGGCTCCAGCTTTCCACCTCAGTGGCCTCTGGAGTCACATGAGCCAGGGAGTGAATCCCAGGCCTGCCTCTTACTAGCAGTGTGACCCTGAAGAAGTCATTTTCCCTCTCTGTGCCTCAGTTTCCCCATCCATAAAATGGGCATATGAATGGTACCCACTTCTGAGGTTTTCTGCGAGGATCTAGTGAGGTTTTTTGTTTTTGTTTTTGTTTTTTTTGAGTTGGAGTCTCACTCTGTCACCCAGATTGGAGTGCATTGGCCACTCCTGGCCACCGCAGCCTCAACCTGCTGGGCTCCAGCGATCCTTCCGCCTCAGCCTTCCAAGCAGCTGGAACTACAGGCGCGCACTACCACGCCTGGCTGATTTTTTGATTTATTGTAGAGATGAGGTCTCACCAAGGTGCCCAGGCGGGTCTTGAACCCGTGGGCTCAGGCAATCCACTCACCTCAGCCTCCCAAAGGCGCGGGATTACAGGCTGAGCCACCGAGCTCGGCTTTTTTTTTTTTTGAGTTAGAGTCTCACTCTGTCGCCGAGGCTGGCGTGCAGTGGCACACTAACAGCCATGGCAGCCTCGACCTGGTGGGCTGAAGTGATCCTTCCACCTTAACCTTCCAAGTAGCTGAAACCACTGGCACACGCCACCATGCCCGGTTAATGTTTTAATTTATTGTAGAGACAAGGTCTTGCCAAGTTGTCTGGGCTGGTCTCGAACCCTTGGGCTCAGGCAATCCTCTCGCCTCCACCTACCAAAGTGCTGGGATGACAGGCATGAGCCACCATGCCCAGCCATAAACATGACATTTATTTTAGTATGTGGATTTGATCTCATGATTTTC